GAGCACTTATCATGACCGAAAGCTCAGTTGCTTATTTAAAATGATTGACATTTGCCTTGTTTAAATAGCGCTACAGGTAAAGTAAATGATGACTTTCTTTGACTGAAAGCCTTTCACATCTTATTTCTTCTTGTACTATAGATGAAAATGAGAATGTGTTATACAGAGCATCTTCCCTATACAACAGATGGATAATACTTGATTTTGTATTAGTATATCTGCTCTTTTCACTTCGTTACTGTCGTTACTGTCATTGTTTTTGTTTTTATACAATGCTACATTGATGTATTTTCTAACAATGTGGAATATGTCTGCCCAACCCTGGGAACTTTGTTGAAAATCTCAATAAAAAGATTTTGAAAAAAGTATATCTGCTCTGGGAAAAAACAGAAGAAAAAAAATCTAAATTATTTGTGGAGAAACAGGATCTCAGAAGATCGCCAAAACACATGACAGCAAAATTAAGTGGTCCTAATATGCTAAACTGAGAGCTGTAAATTAAGGTGGGAAAATATCATTTAACCAGATAGTATTTGACACTGACATTTACTTAATGAGGAGAGATAGTAATCTGCAAGAGACGAGGAGAGCAGACTCATATGGACTGCTAACCTTTGCTGTTTGTTGAATATGTTGATGAAATTAGTCCTCTTGGATGTGTTTGGGCGGTGTTTGTGCTGTGGTTGGTGAGTCAGGCGCAGCTCTGGGCAGATGGTGGTCGGACCGGTGCATAAGGTACGCTTGATATTCATCAGGAGAGCTGACCTCTGCCATGATGTATTCAAGCATCCAACAAACCTCACTCCGGGTTCATCCCTGCATAATGAATGGATGCAGAAATTCAAAAACAAGACAAAAGCCATTTTCAGCTCTCAGTTTCACTCCCACTTCCTCTGCTCTCATGGTTTGGTTAGGTAAAAACAGGGATGTTCTGACAAAATTCAAGGTTGGTTATGTGAAGAATTTGCTGGAGTAGTGCTGGGTCAATCAACAAAGTTCACAGTGTATTATTAAAGGAAAATGCACACACCCACACTCAGCCATGACATTCTTTCACAAGTAACTCACAAGAAACTCAAGAAAACGGGCAGCAGCACAAAGCGACAGACAGTTCGGTTTGTTGGATGAGAGAGCTCTTTGACATCTGGAAGGAAACAGTTTTCTCTTCACACTGTACAAGCAGCTCAAAACTACTCAATAGCTTTGTAAATAGTTTTAGTGCAAGCCACTTTATGATGTCCATGCGCAAAGTTTTTACTTACTCCTCTGTAAATCCAAGAAATAGCAAGGTCGATTTGAAAACTGTCATTGCTTGTGCAATTTGTGAAATATGGTAACACTTTGTAATAGTGATCAAATGATCAAATAATCAGTTATAAAAGGTAAATATACACAGTACCTTTTCAGCTTTGTCCATGGGAAATTCAATTTTCAAACAAATGGGATTATAAATGATCACCTACGTGGTTAGAGATATACTGTATGTACAGGTATTGAAAATATTTGCTGAACTTACTGTTGGGTACTTACTGATGCATAGAAGCACACACGCACACACGCTGTGTCTTGCAGTTAAAGGGTGCTGAACTGCTAATTAGCAAGCAATTTATACAAAATGTGTCATGGTGCTTTGTTTATTGCTGCTTGATGTGGTGTGAAAGGTCGTAACATTGTATTAAGCCACAAACACACACACACACACACACACACACACACACACACACACACACACACACACCAGTTTAAGAAAACATGCAATTATACAAAACACTAGCAAATTAGGAAAACGTGTATTATTTCGGAAAAAAATGCTGCAAAGTGAGAAAACACAACAAAAAACAGAAACACGCTGCAAATCAGATGCATTTGGTTGTGTTTTCACACTCTCGCATGTGTTGTCAAATTGGTAAAGATGTTTCCTTAATTTGCTTGTGTTCTGTCTATTTTCATGTGTTCAGTGCACTGAGCTTTCAGGGCCACCATAATAATCCCCCTAAGATGCCATCTCACTGTCACTGAACTGTGCTCTCTCGCTGCACACACACACACTCACACAATCACACACACACAGTCCACCTGGTACATGAATGTACGGATGTGATACCTGTGAGAATGTGTCACTGCACTCTGTTCCCACTGCATCGGTGGATGGCTCAGTGGTCTTTGGAGTGTGTGTTTGTGTGTGTGTGTGTTGTGTGTTGTGTGTTTGTGGTGGGGAGAGGAATATGTCTGTGTTTGCCGACTTCTGTTTCTGGTCTTGTTATAACGTGTTTTTATCGTCTGTATTAGAGATTAGAGTAATAATCTATTTGTCAACACTGGAACATTGTTGTTATGGATAGATGTGTGTGTGTGTGTGTGTGTGTGTGTGTAACGGGGGGCGGGGGGGGTCTAGGACAGGTGCTTTAAGGGAACCCCTTTGACTCATAGTCTCTTCACTAATTAAGTTCAGGCTCTTGCGTGTGTGTGTGTGTGTGTGTGTGTGTGTGTGTGTGTCTGCTTGTCTTTCCATGGGAAAGGTTTGTGCTTTTCCACTCCCTCACTCATTGATTATCTGTTTATTACTCTTCTAAATTCACTCAACTCAAGTTTGATCCAAGGTCTTTGAAGCTTTCATTTATTTGTATTTTAAAATTTTATAATGTGGTCAACATGTGGCCGTGTGTTTGGTGTTTTGTGTTTCTTCCTGAATTTCAGCAGACTCACCTCTGAAACAGTTCCAATGAGACTAAGGATAGTATTTGTAATCATAATATTGGTACTTGTCTGCAGTTAAATGTTAAAGTAATGCAGCCAATTCAGGGTATAGAACCTGTGCGATCGGACAAACTATATTCATCATCAGAGAGAGACAACACTGATGTGTCTGATCAATAAGTCAAATATAAAAATTAAAGGGGACATTTTAAAGGTAGATTTTCTCGAGCATAGTTTATTTTCTGTGTTTGTGTTTCGGTGTTGTGTCAATCTTTTAGGTAGGGTAAGGGATTCTAATCCAATCCACGTCTTTTTGTCAAGTTTGGCAAAACTCGACTTACAGTCCGTTACCTGTCTGTTCAGCTTACTTTTTACTTTGGCAAGACATGCTGTTGTTGTGACGTTAGCTGTAGTAGCAGGAGAGCTGTGAGTATCTCTGGGACCGCCTCGTCCTCTCTGCATGTTAGCTTCGCAGCAGCAACTGTAATGTTACGAGTTTACTAACCCACAAATAACGTTAGTTACATTACTTGCTGTGTCGCTTACTCCTTACCTGATTTACCTGGCTTACCTGCACTTGTCAGTTATAAGTTTCACCAAAATAATGTCAGAAAATGAAAAATGAAAATGTAAGCACACACAGAGATGGATAGGTACACACAACCTGCATGTTCAGTATGAAAGATCTTGAATTTTTACTCCAATCATCATTATTCCTTATTTTAATTATACTCTGCTAAATATTGGGAGACTTACACTAGCGTACAGATTTATATAAAACAGTAGTGGTTCAGTCTCTGTGCAAAAATAAGCTTGCATTCGCCAGCAGGGAAGATGGTCTTTAGCCTGAGTGGGAGTCGTCGGCTGAAATGAAAGAAGAGAGAAAAGTATTTTAAGGATGATACTGGTGTTGGTGAGATTTGTTTTCTATTGTCGCACACCATTACATTCAGTTGTCTTCTTGAAATTGGGGATTCGATTTCTGTTTATTTCAAACCTGCTTGGTTGAAATGAGATTTCAGAAGTCCATTGTGATTTGCTTGGCTATTTGTCACAAAGGATTTATTTATAAGTGTTCAGTCTCATTGGGTTTTGTTTAATCCAACAAGTGATTTAAGATTTACATGTTTCAAGGTTGCACATTGAAGGGGACTTGGCAAAAAGTGACTACCTGTCATCAGCATTTGGATTTATATTTGGAATGTAATGCCTACAAATTTGACACACTCTCAGTATGGAAATTAGTCAAACTGAAGTCCCTAGGCTATCAAAAAATGAAAAGAATTTTTGGGCTTTTTAAAACAATTAACATGTGACCCTGCAACTGAGTGAATCTATAAACTCAGCAACCAAAAATCTGTTTTGTGGAGAGACATTGTCAAAAGTGCATCTAGTCCATATTTACACTGCATGCTTAAACGTGTCAAATCGTGCCTGCCACCCACAAGCTATTTTCCACCTGCTGCCCACCTACATCAACAATAGCAAAGCAGAGCCCAAGACAAACACAAACAGACACAACAGAGCGCACATGGTGGCCACGCTCCTCAGATTAACCTTTATCCTCCCTGATGAGACCTGTTGTCTTTACCTGGAGCACTCTGCACTCAACACAATATGGACTCCAAACCGAAACAATGTTAACCTTTTCTTCCACTCACTTTGAGATAAGGCTACACAAGTTTTTGGTTGTGGGCTAAAGGGATAGGGTTAAAGCGGTGCCCTGACCTCCTGGTGATCTATCCAACAAAAAACATCCAATTTACACCTAAACGCTCTTGCAAGACAACTCAATGTCCGTGGTAAAACAAGTGTGATTTTCCAAGTCAAGTTTAGCATTGGTCGGGGGTACACATATGCAAAACAAAGCAGAACAATTGGTTTGAGATTATTTGTGGCAACACTTTATGCCAAACCATGTTATCTATCAAAAGAAACAAAGTCTTTGTTGCTTTAATGAGCATCCTAAATGTTCACTTTACTTTCCCATAGCAACTACATCACAACCCTGCAATCAAGGAGAAGGACAGAGAGATAGCGAGAGAGGGTGAGGAGAGGAAGGGATCGGGTTTCTCAGTACCCTAATCCTGGATTTGGAAACGGGATGAGGAGAACGCAGCTAAGGACAAGCACAAGTAATAACAGCACTGACATGGGTTTGGTAGGTGGGGGTGAGCAGCTTGATGGGAAATAGGGGGCCTCATAGGTCGAGAGAGGGGTGGTTAGTTGTAGGTGGGTGGGATATAAATACCTGCAGTAGACAAGGGCTGCAAATTGCTGAGGGTATGACAGACACTGGTTACCTGCATCTATAATAGAGAAAAAGAGACAGGGATATGCATTGCAGAGGCCCAGTAGTATACCAGTGGTAGTAACTTGAACCTGAAGCTCATCATTATTCATCTCTGGGAGTCTTGACTGAGGGTGCAGATGTGCCTAAAAATGGGAGAATTCTAGCTGAAGTGCTGACAGTCTTTTCTCTTTGAGAAAAAAGGTAACTTATCACAGTTTCCTACCTGAATATTCCCAAGTGACTGAAGTGAGAACTACGCTTGACTGAGCCAGGGAAAAAAGGACAAGAAAAGAAGACAATACCAGAGGTGAAAGAAGACAAGACGCAGCAGGGAGAAAGACAAGGCAGAACAAGAGAAGGCCAAAGAAGACGAGACAGAGACAGAAGGCGAGATAAAGTAAGACTAAACACAAGACACAAGAAAGGAAGGCGAGGAAACAGATATCAAGAGGGCAAGACAAGAAAAGACAGAGGACAAGGAAAGCAACAATGGGAGACAAGACCAAATAAAGCAAGAGAGGAAAGAAAAGGAACCAGTTAAAGGATCACGTCAACCTTCAGTGTACGATAAGGACCATCCAAGAGGGGCCTGAGAAGAATGGCATGCCAAGCATTTAGTGCCGACTCTTTCACCCCACTTGCAGGAGACTCACCCTTGCCAATCCTCATGCACCACGCCCCTGCCGGTGACTGCCTGCCAACCACCTCCCATGCTCACAGTATGGTTTCTGCAGGTAAACTGGGCTCAAATGCTCTACTGTCAAACAATTTTTCTTTTGTGCCATTCTCTTTTTGTGTGCTATGCCTAATTTGTTCGCAAAAAAATTCCTTTCACGGTTGCAAAGTATGAGGAGAATGGAAGTTTACAGTGCCTAAATGATATGGACCATGTCCGATGTAATGTTGACATGATGTTAAATCCTTGCTGCAAAGGAGGCAGCCGTCTAATAACTATTTCAATCATCCAGTTGAGCCTTGTGAATTTATAAAAAGAAAGGCTACTGGCATTGTGCCATTTCTTAATGTGACGAAGAGTAGAATGAGAGCGTGCTGCAGGCATTTGCTTATGTTGATTATTGATTTATTATATAGGACGTCTCGTGGGTGCTGCAGGGGAGTCATGTCTAATGTAGGGCTACAATTTGCTCCTGTAGACCTCTACTTGACCCAATCATGCCGCCCCTGCTGATGCCTCCTTATCAAGATGCAATTGTGTTCTCAGGAAATTGGGAAGATGGATTGGATTGAAAAATACATTTATTCAAAGCTGATCCAAATGATGTAAATGTATCTAATCAGCTGGTTTAGCCCAGCTGTCTCTACTCAGTGGATAATTGCTTTGAGAATATGTTATCAGTATGACAAACTCCCCAAGGTCTTTTTCACGATGGAACATTGGGGAGAAAACTTCCAGGGGTTTTAGTGCCTGCTGATTGTTATAGCTTAGAATATACTGGATTATATCATGCAGAACATTAGTCATACAATACATTTGTATAGAAGCGGGTTAAATATATCTTGAAAATAGATTTTTCTACTCAGACAATACTGTATTTTCGGAATTTGAGGATATTGCTTTGCTGCAATAAAATCTTAACCTGGCCTATATTTTTTTTCTGTCTTCCAGAGAGTCTAGGAATGAAATGTGGAATGTGGCCGACTAAAATAGAATAGAAAAATAAGTAAAATTCAGTTATGGCAGAATTGTAGAACATGCGTAATAGTTGTGATGTAACAACTCAGAGTGCATCTTAACAATACCAGTATGCATGCATAACTGTTTGATGTGAATACCCAGCTGGATAAAAAGAATACATGAATAATTATGTAATTAGCAGAGGACATGACCAGAGCAATGTTCAACTATATTTAAATACAGTATTAGTAGAGAAGAACATCCAGAAAAGCAAGTAAAGCAGAGGAGTCCTAATCTAGCTGTGAATCAGTGTCACAATAAATCTAACAATTCAAAACATCTCCTGGTTTATTTCCTTGGTTTTGGAAGCATATGTTTTGGTTTGCCGATACTTTTGTGCTCTTCATGGGTTCATTTCAGACCACTTTTATAGAAGGCTGTGTAAGGTGGGAGATCTGTCACACATACAGAGCAATTTTTAAGCCATATTAGCATCCCATTCTACACTAGCTGACATTTCACTCCAGAGCCTAGTTTAAGGAACAAATGCATTTAACTCAGATTGTAATCACATCGCTTTCTGTTTGGTCTGCACTATCATCAGACTAACATATCAGGGTGATGTAGGCCTTCGGTAAATACTCAAATATAAGCCATCTTTCTCTCTCTCTTTCTGTCTCTCTTCTCTCCTTAATGGGCTTTTAGTGGAATGTTTTAGTGTGTGTGAGAATCTGCATGTCCATGGTGTTTATGGAACCCAATAGTTGTGAAATCAAATTCAAATATATTATTGTGTCTTATGCCAATACATAGCAGCTATATAGCATAGCATAGCAATATAATTACTCTAGTAAGAGCTATTTCAATCTTAACTGTCCTCAGATCCTAACTAACACATCTCTCCAGTTCTTTTGTTCTGCCGTCAGATTGTAACCACATTTGTCTCCATCAGTATCATCTGGGCTGTCCCTGGGTCAGTCTTCCAAGCGCTCCCACATGCATCTGTCCACCTCGTCCCTCGGCAACCCTCTTGGCAATGGACCGCCGAGCCTACATTACCCAGTCACTCCCTGTCACTACAGCAACCAGCAGGCCACCTATGGCATGATGGCAGGTGAGTGGTGGTGATGGTAAGGCTGTAATAAATCTAGTGCTGTTGGTCAACAATTGATCATCATCAATTCTGATAGTCAATCGTTTAATTTATTTATTTAAGCAAAAATACCAAAAATCCTCCTTTGAGTTTTGGACTGTTTGTCAGACAAAACAAGCAAATTGACGGTGCCATAAGGGGTCTGAGAAACTGACCCCTTATCACTATTTTCTGGCATCTTATAGATTAAACTAATAATTGATGATGTATGATCAGTTACAGCAGTGATTGACTCAGAATATTTCTGATGAAAATATTACTTTGCAGCCATGGCAACATCAATAATGATAATTGTTGTGACAGTATTTGGACAGTAAACAATGGTGCTGATGAGGACAGCGGTAATGGTGAGGGTGATATTGATCTGACGCTGACAATGATTATGATTAGAATGAGGCTGATAAAGAGCATGATGGGTGATTTTTTCAATCCAGCCCAGCATCAAGTCATATTAATCAATGTGTCAGCCGTGAAGTTGGATCTTGGGTGCGTTTAAATCAAGTCTCAAAATTCAGAGTAACTAAATTAATCAGTTTTAAGTCATGTATGGACATTATCTGGTCACAATCTGCATACTAACAGTAATGTAATTTATTTAACATACAGGACATACATTTGTTAACATTGAAGTGTCACATGTGGGCACTTCATCATGGTCAGACTCTTGTAGAGGAGGTGATATTACAATGTCATGTTACTAACAATGATGATTATGGTAGAGGTTTAGATGATTATTATTGTGCTGAAAATGACAATTACAATATACAAAGAAATCCCTGTGGTGATTGTGATAATAAAGGCTTCTCTTTCTCTCCGTGTAGCTCAGGAAATGCTCTCTGCCAGTATTTCGCAGACTCGTATCCTACAGACATGTGGTGTTCCTCACCCTAACATGGTGAGCGGTGCAAACCCATTGCAAGGTAATGATCAGATACGCAGATACGCAGTGTCAGTCTGTCACACACACACACACACATTCACGCACACATACACACACACACACATTCCCTCTCCTGGCCTGCAGTTAAACCCAATAAACTGAGCAGACAATTTGTTTATTCCCATTTAATTTAAAATCTGCTACCAGTTAAAATCAATTTCAGACTTGATTACTCCGCCTAACGCTTGAGCTCTTTAGCGCACTTGCTAAACATAACTGTCTGCTGACAGTTTGCCACTTCCTCCCCGTCTTTAAGGAACATTAATGCAGAAATGGCTATGTGAAAACTGTCAGGAGGAACAGTATTGGTGTTAAGAGATTTTTATTTTTCAAGGCACAAGTCATCAGTCTTTTAACACCTGACGAGAAATATTGTTGACAGTCAACATCTAGCTCCAAATAAATTGAACAAGTAAAGCAGATTTTGTATGTAATAAAATAACAGTTGCTGAATTCATTCACAAGTGTTGATATCATGGCCTATTCAAGTTTGCAACTTTTTATATTAAAGCTAACATGCCAGAGTGATGACATCAATATTGCCAGCCTCGCTAAGTTGTACTAAACTTTAAAGCTCCTGACAAATTTATAACAGTCGTGGTAAATTAACATGAGATATTTCTGTTTTTCTCTATGCTCTTCTCATTGTTTTGAAATGGGTGGGGCTTATGTCACTGTACAGGTGTCCTGCATACTAATTCCTATAATGAAAAACTGACAAAAGTGAAATTAAGTTTTGATGCATTTCTTTGTTAAAGAAAGTATAACTGAACTATCATAAGTTTGTATATAATCAAGCAGGAGCAAATACAGACCAAAACAATATGACCTACAATGTAACCCTGGTGGCACAGAACAATTAACATTTGCAGAGGAAATAAGATTGCTTCTTCTAACAGACAAGACTGTTAAAGAGTGAGATTTTAACCACATGAGTGTTGACCCGGCGACCTCTCCTGCAAATGGTCTAATAAAACTGTACGGTCCGCAGTGTCAAAGGCCTTGCTGAAACATATTAGGATACAAATTAAACAGCTGGCCATAATTATTACCGTCAGGAGGTCACTTGTTACGTTAATGAACTGTGAAGTGACGGATTGAAGGTGTCACAAACCAACTGGTTTGCAGCTTTTGTCTATATCATTAGAATATAAAGGTAAACGGAATGGGATAATTCTTAATGGGAAAGGGATGTTGCTCAGCTTGAACTAGGGGATGTATTAACATTTTGAAGACTGGCACATCAAGTGTGCATGTGGTAGAATCCATGTGAAAAATTTCCTCTGTTAAAACCCAATTTGAAACTTATTCAAAAGTGGTTAACAACAGCACTCAGCAGAGGGATATCTGAGAGGAGAGGGCAGTAACAGAATAATTAGAATTAAACAGAACTCTGTTATATCGCGAACTGGATGAGATGAGGTCAGAGAAGAAATCGGCCCTTTCATTTTTAAAGCTGCACTCATTAATTATTTTTTATATTAACAACGGATCAAATGACTACTTGTAATGTGAAAGGTGTAGCTTTATGAGTCCACAGAGACTCTGCAGTTCTCCTCGGCTATATGGAGATTTTTAGCTTCCTTGAAGTCATCAGCCTTGTTTTCAGCCACAGCAGGCAACTGTTTTCAACAAAGACACACTGATAAACCTAGTGTACGTTACCTGCCAAGGACAAAATTATACACAGTGGAGCATTTTGCAGCTGAAGAGACAGATATTTTCCTCAGCAGTTGGGTGCTAAAATGAAAGTGAATATGGACTCACAATCATCAGGTGGCCCGAAACAATGGATGCTAATGTTGCTCCCTATCTGCTGGACATGTAAATAGGCAACTGTTTGCTTAGACGTTGGCCATAACAACTTTAAAGGGCAATAAAACATCAACGCTGTGGTCTCAGCTTGTTCAGCGAGCAAAACAAATATTAATGACAGCAGGAATTAAGTGGTTTGTCAGGTTGTTTGCTTTCTATCTTTGCTCGGCATAAAGCCACTGATGCTGCCACTCTTTTTGGATGGTGCTCATGTAAAGCAGCTAGAGGGCCCATGTCCATGTACGCACAGACTGGTGAGTGAGGTGTTTTCACAAACCCACGAAGCCCGCATGTGTTTTGAAAGAGGCTTGTTGTCCAGTCTGTCTCCAAAGCACACAAACAACTGCTGTGTGCACTGCAGCATAGCTGTATGTACACTCCCCGGGGAGCATTGGTGCAAGCACAAACAAGGTAAAGTCTTCTCTCTTTCTCCTGCATGTTGAGAAGAACAGGATGCCTCCAGCTGAATCATCCAAGCCCTAAAAGATGGTCCTAGGGGTAAAGCATTTTGCCCCAAATCTCCCCTCACCAGTAGTAAACTACAAGGTACAGGGATGTGTTTCATAGGGTGCTCACTCTCTTTTCTCACTCTCAGTTGATGTTAGAGTAGTATAGTAGTATCTAAACTGACAGCAATTTAAGAGACATCTACCAACTAAGCTCTATGTAAAGGGCTTTGAAACTATAGGCTATTGCCAGAAGGAAGACATACACGCTACCCATATATTACTTCTTAGACATAAAAAGATATTTTAAGAGTGTGAATCCAACCTCTCTCCCTGACACCTTCAGTAAAAGAGAAAATCACTGATGCATACAGTTTTGGTGTAGAATCTGCCACATTGCTCTCTAGCTGGTGTATGGTTACGAATGAACAATTCGGCGGGTCACTGACAGCACCCTTTTCTACACTCCACTTTTGGAAACCCAATCATTTTGTACATGTGGGTTGTGAGAGTTACTGCATTTAGTATTCCTGCCACTGTATTCTTCCAGGGAAAATCCAAAATGGCTCAAGCGCTACTGATGCTATGGGCTCTCATGCGCAATTTGAATAAGGAGTTGTAGGATTGGCTCATCCTGATTGGCTGAGTAGACAGATGTAAACATCATTGAGCAAAGCCAATGAGTGGTTAAGGAACAGTCCTGTTAAAAGATGAAACCTATCTGAATGTTGATTAGTTGAGCTTCTATGCAGTCATTCCCCTTTAGTTAGTCTGGGAAGTTTCTAATATTTAGTTCACTGTCATTAATATAAATGGGGTGTACAAAGTATTAGAAATGGTATAGCACAATACAATGTATTGGTCTAACTGTATTAGTTTTAGCTAGGTGTACTGGTAGTGTATAGCCATTACATTGAAACCTCCTGTAATAGTATCTCTGATAAAGACTATGTGAAAGCAAAATCATCTGTGAACTTATAACTTTAGTAGTTAAGAATAGATTTGTTATTTTTGTTTTTTAATTTGTAACTTTAAATGTAAACCTTTTTGTTGCAAACTGCTTTGGCAACATTATTTAAATGAAACATCACACTAAACTGAACTGAACTGAAAATGAAACTGAGAGGGAGCGAGACAGATATGCAATATATCTCACATCACTGGATCTATAAATTCAGGTATTGCTGTCGTACAATATAGTTTGCACTGCACTACAACCCTACTAACACAAGAGGGGAGTGTTACATTGCTCATCTTAGATCCAGTTTCAGCAATGTTGATACTATCAAAAGCAAGCAATCTTCAGAAGATAGTTCAGAGTGGATGGAAGACAACATTTGGCTGCTGTAAGACTTTAATCACAAATTAGGTATTAAAATTTGAGCAATGCAGTGGCCCCCCACCCCTCGCCTCCCCCACTGTAGATATAAAGAGTGTTGATGCAAAGTGTCCTATTCCAAATCACAATTGGTCATCCACCCATCTGGTACTCTGGCAGTAATCTGTCATTAATAATATAATAAAATATTGATTTGCAGCAACAGCCACCAGCTCCACTGTAGTCTGAGGTGTGTTATGCAAGTATGACAAACCTGTTTAAAATGGTTGTGCAATTTTTATTTCTACTAAACAGAGGCCTTTTAAAAACAAAGAAGTGAACTCAGCTTTGCATGGCAACATTAAAGCCAAGGATAAAGCATTCTGGCAGAAAATGTGAATGGGCTTGAGTAAACTGCAGAGTATATATTGTTAATTAATTAATTAATAATATTGGGAATTTATAATGGTAAGGCAGGCCTATTCATCTAAACTACATGAGGTTTAGCAAATGGTTTCCTCGCTTACACACTCACAAAATAAAAACTGGATCAAAATATCTTATTAGGCCTACCCTTTTGTTTCAGGAGAGGATGGAAACTGTTTGATTTGTTTCAGATATACTACATATTGGCTATCACAGCAAAATGGTGAACAAACAAAAAACAAAACTACGATTCTTAGTAGTTCAGAGGAATATCAAAACTTTTGCTGAAGAAATAAAGGCTCTCAGGATACATGGGGGAATAGTGGCCATGTTGCTTTCAGTCTCCTTCTAAACGTCTGAGGGTCTCCCTTGTGACTTCTGCCGACACATTTCCCTTTCCAACCCATATCTCTCTTTCTGCACCCCCACACCCCCACCCCAACTTCTAGGGTCTCTTACTCCTTGCCTGTACAAGTTTCCGGATCATGGTCTAAGCAGTGGTTCCTGTGCATTAAGCCATGGTTTCTCCTCACTGCCCTCTGCCTTCCTCTCGACTGATGAGGTCCCTGGTTGCCCCGGTGTTTTAGAGATGAAAACTGACGCCCAAAGAAAAAGCATGCGGGACCCAGAAGATGCCCCTGCCATGGACTCCCCTCAGATACGAGAGCTGGAGATGTTTGCCAATGACTTCAAAATACGGAGGATCAAACTTGGTGAGTATTATTACTAAAATGATGATGATGATGATGATGATAGCTGAAAAAGACCCCAAATCACTATCCAGCTGCACCAGTCAGATATCTTACCACAAATGTTTGCACTCGCCTTGCTGCTTCTCTGCTTCTGAGAATTCTATTATTTTTGTTTCATTTTGACCTCGAGGCTACACGCAGACTAATGTAGGCGAGGCTCTTGCTGCAGTTCATGGCTCAGAGTTCAGCCAGACCACCATTTGCCGCTTTGAAAATCTGCAGCTGAGCTTCAAAAACGCCTGCAAACTCAAGGCCATTCTGGCTAAATGGCTCGACGAAGCTGAGCTGGCAGGAGGTGAGTCCCATACATTTACTCCACTCCACAAACCAGCATTATTAGAGCATTTATTCAAAGGTATTATTATTACGTGGATATCTCATTTGGATGGAGTAAATGCACATTTGATTTAGTGTGATAGGATCTACTAAACATTACTGTACTATAGACATGCTTTCCTTACTTAATTAAGAGATTTAACACTGGCGTGTACATCATCTAGGAGAGGTGTTCCTAACCTTTTTGCCTTATGACCTCTTAAAAAATGTATCAATATCTACCCATGACCTCTGATCACATGATGCAAACCGCAGAGTGATTTTCTCTTCTCAGATTCTTTCATTTGAATATCCTTTGGAGGAAGATTAAAAACTATCTAAGATCTCAAAAGAAAAAGAAAATATTTAAGGAAAACTCTGATAAAAATGTATTTTTTGTAGCACAAATGTGTTCTTTTACTTTCCTGTTCTGTTGCTCACCTTCTGACCCGCAGATTTATCTTGTGATCCCTTGGACTATTTGTGTAAAAATATGTTAACAGTTGGGGTAGTAGATTTTGTGTGAGAGACGTATTCATTTCAAAGGCAGTTCAGATAATAAGTCATTCTAATGATACTTGGGCAGTTGGTCTGGCAGTCAGTAGGAAAGTTACTCAGTCAAAGGTCCAGTAGCTAACAGTAAGTTGGCATCCACTCGGTCAGTCTGTGTCTCAAATCATTATTCAGCTGACTGTGGCTATGTGGTAATTAAAACTCTACTTCTTCTAATTACTGAAAACCACAAGCATACTACAATAACAACATTGTCTTTTCCTTTCCTGCAGCCTTGTACAATGATAAAATAGGAATGAATGAGCGGAAGAGGAAAAGGAGAACAACTATCAGGTATCAATTCTGATGAGAAAAGATTCATTGTGTGCCATACAGTGATGTTCAGTTTCAAAGAGTTCACCCTCTTCTCTTCCCCCTGTTTCCCACTGCAGCCTGGGAGCTAAGGAGGCTCTGGAGCGCAGCTTTGTGGAAAAAAGTAAGCCATCCTCACAGGAAATAGCCCGGATAGCCAAAGGCCTCCATCTGGAAAAGGAGGTGGTCAGGGTCTGGTTCTGCAACAGACGCCAAAGAGAGAAACGGGTCAAAACCAGCCTCAACCTCAGCGCCTGTTTGACCAAAATCAGTCCAAACTGCATTGCACAGATGAGTAAAACACAAAGGCCAATGACATAACTTAAGGTTTAGCCAGAGAGCATCAGTTCACCTCTAGTCCGACGGAGGCTCATTTGTGACCGCAGCTAGTGAAAAGTTTAAGTGAAAATTATTTTCAAATCTAATGTCTGACAGTAAATCATTCCACCATGAAGTGGGAGAATTTAATTCAACAGGAAATGGGGGCTATAATCACCCTGCATTAGGCAGCCTCTGATGTGCTTAAAACAATTTCATCCAGTTAACATTTAGATGAGAATTTATATCCAGTGAGTCACTGAGTCATTGTCAGCAAATGTTTGTTTAATGGCAATGTGCACCAGTTTTCTTAATGCCATTTTAATGTTGTTGTTTTTTTCTAATTTACTTGAATGGAAATGTACAGTATTTTAATCAGCCAGTCACTTTTCTTTTTTGGAAGTCGAAACGGTTTTCATCATTATGATGCGCTGGTTTGAAGTGGCATCTACCAGCCATGACATTTTAATGTACTGAATCTTGACTGTGCCTTGTTTGCTGATGGTATATTAATTACACAGACCAAATATAATGTAATCCATCAGCACCAAGTGTGCAGATGAGTACTCATATAGATCAGCCCTGTGCCTTTCTAAAACCAGACATCAGCAATACCATCCTTCACTTTGTCCTTTGTTTTGTAATTGTATTTGCTATTGCATTTGTGATTAGAGTTGATACCTCTGTGATTAATTACTTGTCATGTGAAAAATGTTTTTTATTTAAGCCATTGTTTTAAAAAAGGTAATATATTTAATGTTTCACAGCAACCTATTTATTTGAGCTCTAATATATTATGTTGATCTACTTTTCTGAGTGCACTCTTTGATTTATGGATTGAAGTCAGGGATATCGGATATGTGAAACTTTTTTTTGACATTTTTTTAAGCAAATGGATCTGAGGTCTGCTGTTTCCTTGTTGTGTGAGACAATTCATTTTTCATGTTTTTTGGATGTTATGCTTTGGTTGTTGCTGCCTTGACAAAGTGTCACACGAAGAGGAACATCAGCCAGTCACAAGACTCTGACCTGGTTAGCATGATTCATGTGAAACGTCTAAAGTGAAGAAGCAAGCCAACTTCCCTCTCATTCAAAATCTAGGCCTTTATACTTGACATACATCAGGAACCATTAATTGGTGCCTGGAAGACATTTTAGTGTGTCACATTAACATAGGGCTAAGATAGGTGTAAGAATGTATTGTAAAAAGACAGATATGAAGTGCCTTTATTCAACTTGATTGAAAATATACAGTAAATATGCCAAAGAGACATAGCAGGTTTGTACAAAAATTTGTGATTGTATTGAGAAATTCCGTTACCTGATACTGGAAAGTAAATCAGTTTAATTATTCTCTGACAATAAAAGAGAGCTTGATTCCATGATGAGCTACATGTACCATCGCTCATTTTTACAATATACATTGTCCTATGAATACATACATTAGGAGAGAGCCTGGTCACGTGTACAGCACAAACTACAGTTCATGGCTCTGTCGCTGCAGATTAATAAATAAAAATTTTAACTCAGAAACAAGCAGTTCCCACTGTGATTCATGTACAGCTGTCTAACTGGAGTGCTGTCAGGGGACATACAGTGGGGAGAACAAGTATTTGATACACTGCTGATTTTGCAGGTTTTCCTACTTACAAAGCATGTAGAAGTCTGTAATTTTTATCATAGGTACACTTCAACTGTGAGAGACGGAATCTAAAACAAAATTCCAGAAAATCACATTGTATGACTTTTAAATAATTAATTTGCATTTTATTACATGACATAAGTATTTAATCACCTACCAACCAGTAAGAATTCCGGTTCTGTGGCTCAGTAAGAAGCATCTCAAGGTCCTGGAGTGGCCTAGCCAGTCTCCAGACCTGAACCCAATAGAAAATCTTTGGAGGGAGCTGAAAGTCCGTATTGCCCAGCGACAGCCCCGAAACCTGAAGGATCTGAAGAAGGTCTGTATGGAGGAGTGGACCAAAATCACTGCTGCAGTGTGTGCAAACCTGGTCAAGAACTACAGGGAACGCATGATCTCTGTAATTGCAAACAAAGGTTTCTGCACCAAATATTAAGTTCTGCTTTTCTGATGTATCAAATACTTATGTCATGCAATACAATGTTAATTAATTATTTAAAAATCATACAATGTGATTTTCTGGATTTTTGTTTTAGATTCCGTCTCTCACAGTTGAAGTGTACCTGTGATAAAAATTACTGACCTCTACATGCTTTGTAAGTAGGAAAACCTGCAAAATCAGCAGTGTATCAAATACTTGTTCTCCCCACTGTAGTTGCAGCGGGGTCATCAGGCTGCCAACACATTTTTTGAGGCTGTACGGTGAAAAGTTATAGGCAGGGTATGCTGAATAGGAAAGATAATAACAGGCCTCTTAGTACTGAGCTCACAGTTGCCTAAAGCCTAAATACGGCTGCTCTTCAAGATACACCTGTAAAATTTAAAATGACTCTTGGTACTGTTCTTCACTTTATTTAATTTTAACAATATGCTAATGAGTAATCAGTTTTCCCTCTGAATGCATATACCATATGCATTACTAAACAAGTTTGCATAAGTAAATGCAGAATAAACAAGCTTGTACCTCGCAATGCTCAGATCTGAGTCAGTTTGTATTCTGGTGTCTTGTGCTTTAAACATCATACTGGTGATTTTGCACGTTTTTCTCCTATTTACTACAAATCACATACACTTTACATCACAGCTAAAGTTTTTACAGCAACCATGCTGGTGTTTTCTACTTCTAGTTCTGTATGATATAAACATCTATTAGCAGGCTCTTGGTTATGCAGTTTCATTGCGCTGCTTTACTCCGATATCACTTCAACAAAAAATAAATGCTGATTTTATGCTTGTTGTGAAGAGTCTGTCATTCAAATGTACATGAATGAGAGTTTAATTTCATATGAATATTTAGAATCAAACAGCACGAATTGGAAAACGGTCCGTAGAAATGTATAGTATACATAAGTTCTAGTTAGCATGCAAAAACGCTGGTATGGTCCAATAAAGGGGAAAAACAGATCCTCACCAAACTGTACCTGAAGAAACTTTATTACTTATAAAAGCCTTAAACCCTTTACAGAGTCACTTTATAATGACTAAAGAATCAAATAGGAGGATGCATACAACTTTTAGAAAGTGTGGAAATTTCCTAACCATGAAACTGCACTCAAACATTGTCAAAATCTGTTAGAACATTGTTTCCACTCACAATCACAAAAGACTGTAGGAAAGGTAGAGGAAAGAATGATTTACAAAAAAAAATAAAAATAAAAACAATGAATTATGTTTCATGCAAGACTGAAAACATTTTCAATTTGTTTTGGCAATGGGAATCAATATGGGAACAGACAGAGACGGAGAAAGACAGAAAGAAATATTATGTCTCTGTCACTCTCCTGAAGCTGGCTGGCATTAACAAATCATTGTACAGAGGATGATGCCTCAGCTCTGAAGAAGAGGAAACATCTCTTTGATCACAGTGTCATTATAGCAAACACTTCCATCATTTTGTTGCTGTAGTGTGCGTGTATGTTTATGAGTGAGGCAGCTTTAAATAACTAATGACAGTAACTGCACAGCAGCTGAAAGAGAAGACGGACTGCAGGACCACCGTAAATCCAATGTCCAGTATAGGAAAAAAAACATACAGAAAGATACACAATCAGATAGCAAACATCAACCAATGAAGTCAAAACAAAAATACCCATCACTTGATAACCCAGTAGTATCAAACAATCGATTCAAAACTCTTTTATACGCCAGTCTTTCATTAGTTCTAATATTTGTTTGATTAAGCTTCATAACATGACCTGTACAGCATCACAACTTCAGTGGTGCTAATTAAATGCTTGCCCTCAAATCAACCCATCTCACCACCTCATGCATTTCAGTAAAATGAAGGCCTTAGCCCTAGCCCAAAGGCATCAGTGTTACATATTTCACAGGCATATGTTTATCTGAGTACATAATCTCCAGTATCTATGGTAGCGTACCTTTAAAAACACGATCATTAATTAGCTAGTTGACCGGCTGTGTGACGATGCCTGTTCTCCCTTTCACTTGCATGGCTAAGTAACAGTGTCCCGTCTCTTGACACCCCAGGATATTTTACCCACATAACAATGAAATACATGTACACAGAGTGGATGGTAGTTTGACTTAGAGGACATAAATCAGATGGGCTTTAAATGAACCGGTGGCAACAATGATAGCAGGTAAACATGGGGAAGTGGAAAATACAAGTTCCATCTGTTTACTGTCGACCACTAAGCTCTTTTTAATTACCATGTTCTACTCATACCCATCTTCAGTCACTTAAACGCTGATAGATTATATAACTAACTCAAGTTTGGCCAAAACATCAGATGGGAAAAGCCAAGGTCACATATACTGTAGCCCTTATAAAGATAGAGATGGGTGGTAAACAACAGTGTAGGTGGTTCAGATCTCTTTAGGTGAAGCATCCATTATTAGTTCACTAATGTGGCTGTGGCCACTCCCGTGTCATAATAAATATTATTTTCGCATAAATAGATCACATGTTCTGCCCTAATGATCTGTAAGGCAACCTGCTGAAGAATGCATGAATGTGTTAATATACATCTGTCTGCCTGCATGTCTTCAAATGTCTTAATGTGTGTGTGTGTGTGTGTGTGTGTGTGTGTGTGTGTGTGTGTGTGTGTGCACCCTTTGTTACACCTGTAGCACTTGAACGATGACAAAAAAAACAATGTGTCTGACAGAGTCTGTATTAATAAGTACTAATGTTGCACAGGTTTATAATGTGAACATTAATACGAAGGAGACAATTAGTCCACTCCCAGGGCTCGGAGCTGCCTCTCAATCTCGTCGTCAGAGATGGTGGCTTGTTTGGAGGAAGCAGCGCTGGGGAGACTCTTTCCTGCAGCTGGAGCTTTCACCATCTGGAAACACACATGGGCAGAAAAATCCCATTAGCACACACGCTCAATTCAAACTCACTCACAATCACAAAGCTTGGTCTTTGTTGTGAGATTGGCTGTCATGTAAAGCGGCCTACTGCAGCTCCAAAGCTCAAAATGTAAAACATTTGCTCAGATTTGAGAAATGTTATTGTCAATTATATTGGAAAACTATTAACTCCATAAAACAATTCATTCTACATATAGGGACAGCCGTCTTGACTTCGAAATTGGGTTACCCTTTTAGAAGAGAAGCAGGAAGGGCATCACTGATTATTACCTTTGCCTGCTGCTCCTCAGGTATATAAGTTGGTGGATTCATTTAGTTTGTCTCTTTCCCTCCCTGGGCATGGTGTTTGTTGTTTGGTTTTTCCTTGTGTTTATTTTCTTTGTTCATTACACTTCACTGTATAAACATGCAGGACACTACTGATGTTACTGATTCACATTGCCATTGTTTAATTAAAAAGCTATGTTTTGTCCTCTCCCCTGAGCCGGGCTGTGACAACGTGATGTCTGTGATGTCTCATTAAAAAATTACTGCAGACCATCTCAGCTTTAATGCAAGTGGGTGTCAATTACGCAAGCATTATTTTTTACAACATTAATCATCCTTCATTTGTAAGAAAAAAAAAAAAACACAGGCTTAAGTTGTAAGAAATCACCTTGTAACTCTCCTCTGAAAGTATGACTTTCTGGTTTGGTCTGGTTAACAAGTCAACTATTTTCAGTGCTGTAACATTTTTAAAGTGAAACTTTGCCGATTTTAATCCGGCTATGTATCATTACAAAGTTAAATTAACAATGGTTAATTTTCCCGTGTATTAGCTTAACATTAGTAGCTCTGAGTGGATTTTTGTAGGAGTGGGGAAGTGCAAAAGGGGTTTTTTTTTCTCTGTAATGTACAGCCAATTTAAAAACATTTTGCATCTTTCTACTGCATGGACAGCCCAGTATTATGAATACACCCTCTTTCCAGCAGGGAGAAATATCCCTTTAAGGCTTTTTAACTGGTATTATACAAGTGTTGCAACAATCTGGCACTCACCACCAAATGCCACAATTAAATTCAGTGGATCTCAATTCAAACTACTAATAAATACTTAAAACCATTACATATATTTAACGATAATTCCACTGAATATGACAACACATATGGTTGCTTATTTACTTACGGTAATTTCCCCCAAACTACCATAGTTTATGAGTCTTGTAAGTTCCTTTCAGCTTTAGGGCTGAAGCTTTTATTTATTTGCTTTTCCAAGAAAATGCATGATACAAGGACATTGAGAGAATTATCTGCTCGGTCTTTTACTGTGATGGAGCAGGAAATAAATACCCCTTCCCCTCATCCAAAATACAAACACAGTTTTGCAGGTTTTTTATGAAGCTTGCCTGTTTGTTCTCTCCAGCTGTGGGCTTGTTTATGGGACAATTGGTGGGTTTGTACATTGTGTTATGAGAGGTAATAACTCATGAAGTCCCCCAGGGGGAGACACACACCCAGCAGATGGGCAGCTCAGCAGTTCCACACACTACAGTAAATGGGAGCTAGAAGAGCTGAGGGCTAGCCCCACCATGTGGCAGCTGGAACACATTTTAACAGTGGAGTAAAAGCCATGTGGAACACTTATTGTTCAGTTCATGTTGCTAAGGGATGTGCACACCATTAGACTCATTACATGTGTATAATATGTGATAAAAAATAGTAGATTGTTCTGAAACTGGTATTGCCAATGGGCATAAAAGTGTTTTCTAACAATATGTAGTATAAAGTTAAGGTAAGGCCAGTGGTAGTTTCACTTTCTCTCATTTTGAATTGCTTACCTTTCCTGAGATCTCAATGCCGATCTCATCCAGAACCTGGTTGACAATGTCCTGAGATTCTTCTTCATCCCCAGACTCATCAAAGATGTCGTCCAAAGTGTCGTTGACTGGACAGATAGTGAGACAGGGAAGGAGGAGATGAAGACAGACAGGTCAATTAAGTACAAGTCAAAGACTGATTTTCAATCATAGTTTAGAATTTAGAGTGAGATAGCTAAGCTGTGTGAAGGCTTGTGTGTTGGTATTTACACTTTAAATTACAAAAAGAAAATCTGTCTATTTACATGCCATAATCAAACTTTCATTTTTCTCTTGCCCTCAGCAAAACACACACATCAACACACACGTCACTCCTTACACCATTCACATAAATCCTGACAATCTGGTTATGGCAAACCTATAAATACCGGAGACATTTGTGTGTTGTGTCCTTACTCATGTCCTCGGTCATGCCCATCTTCATGTTCTCCTTCTGGAAGTCCTGCATGGTCTTCAGGGTTTTCTCTGGATCCATCTTTTTATTGACTGCTTGCATTGTCTGTACACATTAAGACAGTTAGTTATTTACAAGTTAAGCTGGTACTGAGAAGGAACACATTGCAAGAGTTGCAAAAGGGATGTAGCAAATTAACAAGACTTTCATGCCAGACCTTTTTGAAATGTCCTGTGTTAGTTCTTACACAGCCTTCTTTTTCATCATAGGAGGGTGGTAAAATATGTGCAAAAAACTAAATTATCTTATTCACATGGTCATCATATATAAGCCCTTCATTTAGGGCTGCAACTAACGTTAATCTTCATTTTCGATTAATCTGACAAATATTTTCTCTAGCTGCGTCTATAAAATATCAGAAAATTGAGAAAGTGTCGATCATAATCTTTTCATACTCCAGGTAAATTACCTTTCATGTCACAGACAAGGCAGTTTCCCAAGGAGCAAATTCCAGATTATTTCTGCACAAATCAGTTTGTCCCCCAAGAAAATATTAGCTTGACTGAAAACAGACTTTAAAAGACTTGCTTAGCATTCATTAACATATTATGAGTATCTCACAAATTATGATTATCTCCTTCCTTCCTGTGAAAGATCAGCACAAATGTGGCTTACTTCAACACTCAACTTCAACTGAGCCTGACGCAACAGATAAGATATATCCCTTTCTCCGCTTTACTGTCGCTGGCATGCTGCTCTAAACCATGCTTACCCTTTGCTCCCAATATTATGGGGTGGAAAGTGCTGCACTATTCATTGATTAAACTGGAAAATCTAGGAACATCTGTGTGTATAAGCAAACTAGCCCTAATGTACATAAAAACGATTACCCCACTCTCTCTCTCTCTCCCTCTCAGACAGACACACACACACACCCACCTCATCACACTCCATTAATCTGAAGCCTAATTATATTTGACCTGTCTATGTTTGCCAAGTCTCTCACTCTGTACAGTGCATTGCTCCTGGCCAATTATTACCTCTCACACTTCATTTACAATAACGCCATGAGACTTGGCTTTAAACACGAACAGATCTCACATTAATACTTTAATTACAACACTAAAACATTGATATGAGTAAACCCCCGAAACTAGTTCATATGCAAAACAGAAACACACTGAACTTTTCTAACAGTGAGTTGAATATACTTGAAATCAAATGTTTAATCGAAGTGTGAGCAAAATAATGCAACAAATGAGTTCTTAACTTATTGTTAGATAAGCGCATCCTTTTGTTTGTTAGTAAGGACACTGTATATGTTGGGTAGGTACAATAAACCAAGAGATAACAAACTCAGCAGCCTGTGTTGGTTGTTATACAATGTGTTGCTTTTCACAATTGGCTTGTCTTAAGGCATGCACTAAACACTTAAATACATTTTAAAACCAGGCCTTAGACCAGTTGAACTGAATGACAGGTTCCAGGTTCTTACCTTGGCTGTGGTGGACATGGCGCCGGCCATCTTCATTTGGGAGTTCATGACCTTTGTCTGCGTAGACATGGAGGTGACTTTGGAACTGACGGCGTATGTGCGGTTCTTCTGCTTCCTCAGCTGGACCAGCTGTTTGGCGAGAATCTTGCAGGCCTCCTTGTTACCACTCCTCGCCATTTTCTTGATTTCGGCCTCCTGGAAGGGAAGAGGAGAATCTGGGACATAAGAACACTTGATTGACATTAACAACATTCTTCAGCTGTGTTTGAATTTTAGTATGTGCAATGTCAGTATGCAAACTTAGCAAATTAGTGAGAGCATGCACAAAGTATGAATGAACATTCATAAGAATGGAGTCCATGTTACATATTAGATATATCCATTGTGTCCCTGAGCAAGACACCTAACCCCTGGTTGCTCGAGAGGCGTGCGACCTCTGACATATGTAGCAATTGTAAGTCGCTTTGGATTAAAACGTCAGCTAAATGAGTAACATGTAAAACGTAAGCGTAAATATTACAGAATGGTATTGGGTGACATAAAAATAAGCAGATGAAGCAGCCACTAAAAGGTCCAAATTCTAATTTAACTACATTGTAGATACCTGGAACAAATCAATTAAAAAGGTACTGAATGTTTAGTGTCTCCTGGTTTCATGGGTAAGTAAGTCATGTGCAAAAATAAGCTTTATGTTTAGAGATAATAGTCCTGCATATAAGCATGTAAATGAAGAAGAAGAAAAAGTTTAGTGTCACACATATTGCAGATTAGCTGTAGTGGAGCAGCTACCTTACATGACGGATACATTTTTTTTCAAAGTAATGTTTTGTCATATAATTGCCACCAATGATTCATCTGTTTAACCAATACGAAATGCTTAACCATGTCAAAAGCCGCATTTAGATCTTGGAAAATCAGGATGGAATAATCAGCAGCCTTGTTGACCTAGAAGACCAGTGTCTGTGCCCTGGAGGCTACTGATTGGGAAAACCACATCAATTTCACTTTTTCAAGGGTTCATCAGTCGGTTTCGTCATCTTAGGTGACATTCCAGGACTCTGGAGGGTCTTTGTAGAGTAGGTTGTGTAATCATTAAGAAAATATATTACCTGTGCTGCTAGTGATCTTGTGACCTGAAAAGTACTATCACAATTTCCTCTGACTGTGCCATATAACACATAATACACAAATACACACCCACAGACAAGTACTCGTGCATGTATACACATATGTGTATATGTATTGATAAACAAACAGAAACGTATCCCAAATGCTCCCGAGAGACCAGTGTGTTTGCAAATATAGACACGGTAAATAAAGTCATCTGGAACAGGCCTTACACACTGGCAAGCAGATTCATGCTCTCAGCTTTGGTAAATATCAGAAAATAAACTGATGCCCACAGGGATCCTTAGCGTAGGCATGAGCTTGTGTGAGCATCCCAAGAGAGGAGAGTGGAGCTCCAGGTTACGTTGAGCTCTTTTACGTACAACAGCCGCAGTAGGCAGCAGAGCTAAAAGCATCTTCAGGAAACAACAATCAATTATTAATCGTTGATGAAGAAACAGACATTCCCCACTCAGCTCAGTGTCTCGGTTTCTTTCTTACACACACACACACGGTTCAGTCTGTCTTTGCCTGCTTGTGAGTAGAAAAACAATTCAAATGAATGCCATGGAGAACAAAAAAAATGCAGAGCTGTGTGAGGAAAAAACACACACACAGTGACAATAATACTGTCAACTGCACTGTCATATGAAAAACTATGACTGCTTCAATGGGGAAAGTGGGACTGCTGCTGATGTGAAGCTCATAATGTCTTATTTACTGCCCTGTCGGAAAAAGGGGGTGAAGGGGAGTGATGGATAGACAGTGCTCTCTTGGACATGAAGGAATGCAGCACACACATGTGAGGCTGTTAGGCTCTGCCTGGTAGGGAATCTTTATGTATAAAGAACTTCAAACGCAGACACTTTTTAAGGCCTTACATTCACATTTAACAATACATTACTTTTCAAAGTAGACTTTCTTGACATGTCTGTTTCAATTCTCTTTCTAATGTATTAAGTCCTAAAAAAACTACATGGAAAATGCACAACTAGGCTTAAAATGTACTTTAGAGGGGCGGTTTTTGGGGGGTGGGGGGGGGGGCTTCATCTTGTGTCATTTTTTTGCCGTATTTGTGTGTGTGCTGTGTGTATGCTCATATTTGAAGCATTCAGGGTGGTGTTGGCAGGGGGCAGCAGACATTATTGTACTAATCTGCTATGGGTCATCATTTCCATTTCTTAGCAAAAGTATATTTTATTCAAAATTAGACTAATTAGCGAAAAGCATTAATGAGGAACAAAACTCTGGTTCCCCAGGGAGGTAATTATGTCCTATATGATATTTACTTAATACAACAGAGGGGAGAGGACACAGCCGTCTTCTTTCATCTTTCAGAGACGTCTGTGAATATAGCCTTATCGTGCAACTCTGTGAGTGTGTGTTTGTGTGTGTGAGAGAGTGAGAGAATAGTCTCACTTGCCTGAAGCAAAGCCACCACACCACATCATTATTGTCTATTCATTTAGACCCTAGCCAATCAGGCTTAATCCCAGATTGTAGGAAGTGCATGTGTGTTCAAAAAGCAGGGGGGGGGGGTCTTAATAAAGCATTGATGCAATATGTAGAAATCTAAGGAAAATGCTTTGCGTAGGGATACTTTTGTTCCCCAGACTCTTTGTGTGTGTGTGTGTGTGTGTGTGTGTGTGTGTGTGTGTGTGTGTGTGTGTGTGTGTGTGTGTGTGTGTGTGTGTGTGTGTGTGTGTGTGTGTGTGGTCCCACCATTTGTTTCTCTTGTTTCTCCAGCGCTGCTCTGTCCCTGGTGATCTGTCTCTGAGTGCCACGGAGCTCCTTAGACTGCTCCTTGATTATATCTTGGGCACGAGACAGAAAGGAGGAAAGGTAAGTTCATACTTCAAAAAGGTAAAGCACAGAGACAATTATAAAACCCATGTGCCTTTCTAAGTTACCAAAATGTGAACACACTCTCTCTGACTTCCTGTAATTACATGAGTTTACTTTTTGAGTTTATCAAATAAGGAAAGTCAAGTTAAAACACTTGGTCAAAATTCTCCCCTTAACTCAGCCCTCGGTTTGTGATGACTCTCCCAAAAAAAAAAGAAAATAGTACTAAAGCTATGTGCCATGAAAAGTAGTGGTAAGATAACTCCAGTCTGGAAATCTGGCATCCCTCATGACTTGCATAGTCTACATAATCAGAAGATGACAGCTGAACATAAAGTCCAAATAAAGACCGGCAGCAAGAATATTTTTCTTCTTCTGTGTTTAAATTGTGCACCGCCCTCTACGTTTTTTATTCTCAGGACATTATAGGTGAATTGGTAAAAAATGAACCATAAAACCAGTAAAGATGATCGAGTTTTCACTGCGTTTCTTGATGCAGTTAGAAAGGGGCAGGGTCCATGTCAGCTGCACGGCTTTGGAAGAAATCTAAAACATCTATTCAGTGGCTTAAGAGTGGGCAGGTTTGAGTGTGCACACTGAGAACGCATACTGACACACCGCCAGCTGTGAAGTGCCTGGGCAGCTCACACCAATATTGAGTCAGCTCTCAACCACCCACACAAAGTGGCATCATGTGAGATTATAATGTATGACCCTGAAGTCACACATTCATACATGACTTCTGAGTGAGGTACAACCAAACACACACAACCTTCAAGAGAAAGAAAGCCAATATTAACACTCTATTGTAGATTTGGCACTAAAATATCTGATTTATTTTATTTACATCTGCTTTATAATCTAAAACAGATTCAGTCTGAATTTGGAGGCGCTTTAGGATATTGCAGTCTACATAATACACTAGTTTTAGATAAATCTATACTCAATCTTCAGAATTACATAAATGTCCAGAATAAGTAGATACATAGATTAAATAATAAATGTATCAAGTAAAGTCAGTTTTACTTAACATGTAGCCCAAAATCACTAATAAAAAAAATAATAATAATACTTAACAATAAAAAGTAAAGGAAAAAACCTCAGAAAAAGCAACAGAGGAGGGATGGACCAATGGCAATAGATGAGTACAGAATAAAACAACAACTTATAAGTTTATTTTCATAATTTATGTTGAAATCATAAAGAGCTGAATCCATTTCTAAACAACTGATTCAGCTCTATATTCATAAGTTGCAATACCATTTAATAGGAAATATAATTTTGGGGCAAAAGCAAACCACTGCCAAAAAATGCTTATTCTTTCTGAAACGTTCAGCAATCATGAACTTGGTCAAGACATGTACGTGCGTTGGACCACTTGTGGGAACAACGCATATACGTATAAGGTGACGTGCCGCCAACGTCTCAAAGTGGGAGGGATATCGTCCTACAAATGTGTGTGATCTAACCCCCCCACCCTTCTCCATTCGCCAAATAACCAGAAACCACTTCGACCACCCTACCCAGGGCAACAACGAGAAACACTGTGCCCAGAGAGCGGAGGATGAGAGAAATTAGGATCACGAGATGGAGACGGCGAAATATCACAGCTGAGGAGAGCTGAATATGGCTTGGCATGGAGTGGAGGTAATGCAGCACAGTAAGTACAGCACGCAGACGATCGGTATGGGTGAAACTGGAATGACAATGATGGGAGGAGAAGGTAGGCGGTGCTGTGAAAAGATTTGCCTTAGCCAAACTGTTTTAAACTGCAGATAATATACCATTATGTTTTATCATGGAATTCTCCACACAAATATGTTTGGGGTTCAGAAGAGGTGGAGCCCTCCCTCTGTAAATCCAGCCCTAGAAGTCAATATAATCAGTTTTTGAATATAGCATAATTGATTCATTAAATTTGATAAAGGAGAGGCTGGTTTCCCATTTTGACCTTGTGAGGCTGATTACCTCGCCTGGAGAAATACTTAGATTGAAAGGCATTTTGGACTTTTGACATCCTTTTATATTACAGATTATAATGACCACATCCAACTACAAAGACAGGATGGCATGATCTCATATTTCAACAGCCTTTTCTTTACATTACAGAAATTACTAACACTGTCTGGGATACTGTCTGGGTGTATTTATTTTACCAGCGCACAGCAAGGCAGTTACTTTAGAGTCTATGTGCCAAACATAAATGGACAGTAATGTAGCTTAATAAATGTACTCCTGATTAAAAATAAATGACGTGAGAGGTGAAGCTGAGGTAAAGCAGCCCTTGGATCAATCTGAATAAATAATAAAAACAATGAAAGAATATAAAAGGTTAAAACAAACATTATATTTTCTAATCACTATTTGAAATGACAACGTTTTCACATACATCTGGGAGTAACTGCGGTTTATGTTCCCCTTTTTATTTAACTTAGTCGATAGAAAACAATAACTTAACCTTTGCTCTAGTGCAGCAGTTCAGACACCTTCTTCCTATATGGACCTAACCTTAACAAATAGCTAAAGATTAGAGTTTCATCAGTAACCTTGTAGCAAGTAACACCACATAATGTTGTTCAGAGTAACACTGTAATCCAGCCACAACGTTATATGTTACAGAAATAGCACGTTCATCTACGCTACATTAAGTTTGGCAGCGCTTCATCGCTGGTTTCAGCCAGTAATGTGACTTGTGACTTAACTAGACCCAGAACAGGTTAAACAAGTCAACGTCAAATTAGCTTATTTAAGATGGGAACAACACAGCAGTCTGTACACCGGGGCTAAAAACAAGTTAGCTAGTTTTGTTACCCAGAGCACTTACCATCGACAGTCTTCTTCTTGAAAAGGGAAGCCATGTCGCTACTTTGTATTAACTTAAATACTAATTACAAAATCCTGTACTCATATAATGTGTGATTCCTATCGTCAATACCGTCACACCAGGGCGGTGGGTCAGTTTAGCAGCTCCGGTTTCCTGGTTGACTTTCTGTTGCCGGAGTTCCTCCCTCAGCTGACTGACTCAACCACTCCGGGTGACGTCACGGCGGGACTCTCATGCTGCCTTCAAGTGTACCTTGTAAAATGCCGCATCAAAATCAGAAAAAGTCTATCTCAATTGTCGTAAAAACTAAATGAAAAATGTCAACAGGGTGGTGTGGTGTCACCCCTCCATTTTCTGTTAGACTGTAATCCAATGAATGTCTGATCTACAGAAGAATGTCACCTTAAGGACAACGTGTATATTTTGATCCAGAGAGATCTACCTAGAGGAAAAGTCAGACAATGGTAGTCCTACTGTAGTTGCACCTTGCGAAGTGCCCACTCCAGTAACAAAATAAATAAATAAAATTGAATTATAATTTTATGTGTTTGAATTGAGATATTAAGACACAAGTGCTGATATTCTTTTTGTTTATTCATACATACGTTCAAACACATTGGCAATATTCCATGCAGTACTTGAAAGCAGCAAAAAGGCACAGGAATGATAATAAACTGTTCATTTGCAACAAAGACATTTCTTATTATTTCTTAATGATAAGGCCAAGCAAGCAAATAAAGTCCTACTGACATGTGTGGGTTGCCTATCATTTTACTTTTACTTTTCACATTTACAGCATATTTAATCCAACTGATGTGGTAATTGGCTCTCCTTTCAAACGGGTTTGAAAGAAGACCCAATAGTATATGTGAGCAGTCTATGCATCTGGACATGTTATCAGTATATACATTATTCATAGCCCACATATATGTAAACTGTTTTAAGGAAACTTATTGTCCTAATAATAACCCACACAGCTTCTCACAGCATCATAAATGTCGTTCTTGTCAATTTCCTTCCTCATCTCTTTATCCCAAGGGGCGAGGGGTTTCTTGCACTCCGGTGTGTATTCATATATTCGTATTGTCTTATTTCATATTGATGCTGAGAGCAACTTTATGTGCGGCGGTGGGACTCTTGAACCATAACCAACTCAATTTGGTGCATGTGTGTGTCTGTGTTGGAGGTGGCGGTGGGAGGTAGCACGGAAGACTCAAGGTGGGGGGGTCTTAGCCCAGAAATTGTGAGAGACGCCAAGTTAGGGCTGAAGGAGAGGAGAGAAGGGTGACTTTGAGGAGAAGGAGACGAGGACGGGTAGCCCTTAGCTCTTTTCTCCATCTCCAAGGAGGTATGTCTGTGTGCGTGCACTTGCCTGTGTGCATCACCATGTCGTCCTGAGGCGTTGTTCTTGTTAAGGTTATTAGGGAAGATGTTTGCTGCTAATCAGTAGAGGACTACAGGGACCCCTACTAAACGGCCTCATCATCAGAGGGCCCCAGTGGTGATAAATCTAGCCCCGAGCACCCAGAGGGCCTGCAGGTACAAAGCCTGTATCAGTCTCTGGCTTTGTTGCTAAAAAAGTAGGAGCATGTAAATCAATACCTAGGGATCACATTTGGGCCTTTTCTACCTGTGATGGATATATTAGAGCTTTATAAAATATGCATTGTAGAATTGATCAATATTGCACAGTTGGAAGCCTTAAACCTGAATTTATTGTAAAGAGACACTTTAATTGGATTCCATATAAATATACCTTATTTCTAGCATTGCTATTATTGTTACCCTCACCCTAACCTTTAAAGTAAAGGTTTTTGTTATTGTTATTGTTTTAGAGACTTCTCCAACTGGAATAAAAAGACAACACAAAAAGAAAAAAAAATTCTTTTTAATAGTTGGCAAAACTTGCCCTTTTTACAAATAGTAAATTCTGGTATAACGTGTTTTGTGTTAGTACATGCAACAACGGAAAGGTATGTAATGTAAGGTAATAAATAAAATGTGGGAAAATGCTTGTCTTCTCTTTTTGGTTTCCACTGTCTTTTGATATCACTTTCTCCCCCTTTTCTCCACTTTCTTCAACTATCTGTCTCTCCCGTTCTCCTCCTCCACCTCCTCCTCTCTGTGATCTAGCCCCAGGGCAAGCAGACACATAACGTTAAGGCACTAACTACAGAGTGTATGGACACACACACACACACACACACAGCAGAGAGAGACGTTCAAGTGTGAAATGAGATCTCTGCACAATCAGTGGGAGTCGCAGCCATAAAGCACATCAAGCTTTTCAGCTTTAAGGTATCATTGAACAAATCGTCAGAAATCCTTTCATCTGATAACTGCAGAGTTATTCTTGTAACAACTGTGTTTCTCTCCTCTTCACAGATAGACCCATTCAGGGACACCCAATGATGAAACCAAGTAGTGGGTCTAGCAGTGAGTGGTTCTGTTTATTTATTTTTACTTAAAAGGACAGCAACTTATATTTTGCACAGTATAACAAAAATTAACCCCACCCCACCCCCATCATGCAGTAACTGCTAGTATTACATTTTCAGCCACCAGCTTTACAGTGATATAATATAGACACATGCAGAAACATGAATTTCAAATTTCAATAGTAACCCTAAAAAGCAAGACTTCATATCCATCACAACAGAGACAGACAATCCAATCACAATGATGTCTATTTTTTATAGCAATGGGCTCATAATCTGCCCCATATGTGAGCAATACCACAAATTCCATTATTTTTGTCTATTTTGTCATTTGCAATAGAATTTCAACAAAGCTCCCTCAGGCATCCTCAAGCTGTATATCTCATACCGCATATTTATCAAGCATAAATCCTGGACTATAATAGGATATAAGACAAGACTGCATTCTTCCCTGTGCCCTGACATGTAAGTAGGCTGAAATATGTTTGTATGCAAACCACAGGGAGACCAGGGGGTGTGATGGGAGACACGGGATTTCAATAGCACTTCTTTCTCCGATGGATGGATACTTCACTGCTACCCAGATGGAGAGACAGAGACAGATAGAAAGAGGCAGGCAGGACACAGAGTAGCAGGGGGTTCAAGGAAAAGGAGAACAGAGGGCAATTTCACAGACAGGAAGAGAAGGATGAATCAATGGAGCAATCAAAGGTAGAGGAGAGCAGGGACAGTGGCAGAAGTTGAAGTTCACAGGTTGGTCAAAAAGTCAGAAACTGATCTATACACATACCTTGGACTCTTGGCCACTGTAGGCTTATACAGTCACTTTAGCTTTACATAAACTGTTATATTTTGTTTGTTTGATCTCTTCAAAAACCAGTGAAAAAATGACAAGTTTTAGTTATATGGGGGTTACTTACTGGACAATTTCTTGTTCACAGTAACTTGGTCTCACCTCACAATGATGACAACTTTCAAGGAGGTCACAGCACCCACCCAAGAAATAGTCAGTCACATAACCTCCATAATACCTCAACTATACAAGAACATGTTCATTAGAGAGATTTCAAGCTGCTGGTATGGGGATTTTGTTACCAGCGGACAGACGCAGGTTAGTGGTTTTCCCGTTTTAAGTCCTGATGCTGTAGCCTCAAATTTAATACAGATATGTTAATAGGCTATCGATCTTTTAATCCAACATGAATAAGCATATTGCCCAAAATGTCGAACTATTCTTTTAACAATAAAAGACAAGCTAATCAGTTTCACTTTCAACGATGCGCTTTGTTACTTTTAGTACAGTACCACAAGGAATTATTTCTTCTGACGTTCTGATCCATTTCCAAAGTATGTAGTGGAGAGGGTTTAGGACATACGGAAGACAGCGGGTGGCTGAGAGAGTGGGAAGAGGCAGGAAGACAGGGTGATATCAGCGGGGGAGGCAGGGGCCAGGGAGTTTGGGATGGCCTAATAAATCGAGTGAGTGACTCCACTCATTTCTGCCCGTGGGACGAATCTAGTCGAGCTCACTGGCATAGTGCAGCATCAGGGAATTGTGGGTAATGAGAGATTATTCTCCCCTGTAGTGTTTGCTCATCATCATTGCCACTCACAACATCCCCAGCCTCACACGAAAGCATGCACACACATCCTAACACAGGCAGGTGTGGAGTTATGTACAACACGTGCAGACACACATACACAGACAGTGGGACACATCTTGCAGACATGCAGTTGGTTTTGTGAGTAAGGTCAAACTGCGAGGTGTTATTGTTTAAATCTGCTGCTGGCGCCAATTTTGGATGTCACACTCAGTGAGGCACACACAAACACACACACACACACACACACACACACACACACACAGTTCAATGATACCCTCTTTTATCCACAGGTCCTTTTTGCCTGAGGATGTCAATCTGTCTGAGGGTAGATCCTACATGCATCCAACCAGAACCTTCTTTTACCCTTTCTCTCTCTCTTCTGTCTCTCCAGTCTATGGTCCTCCTCGCCCTGGGGCCCGGCTGCGACCACAAGAAGTAGGCTGGTGGTCCCAGCAGGGGCCGAGGCTCAGACACACCATTAGCATGAGGGAATTATAGTCATTACAACTGGAAGGGCAACGGAGGACAAGTGCTTCACTCTGCAGAGGAGGGAGGAGGTTTGGGAAGTTGTGTGAGGGGGGAAACAGACAAAGTGGGAAGCTTTATTAATCAGATAGTTGAGAATGTATCCAACATGTAATACATGGATGTATTTATAAATTAATATGTTTATTCTAGACATTGCATTTGAGATGAAAGTTTCTATAATCCATGCAGGACAGTGTCATTAGTAATGACAGTTGGACAGGTGGGTAAGGTGAGTTTTTCAACTGAGAATCATCAAGCTGGAAGAGTGGAAAATCACCTTGAGCTGGAGTTTTACACCAACTGTTTCCATTTTGGTTTGGTTGTTGTTTAATAAATGATTCAATAATGATCGAAATAAAATTCTGCAATGCAAGTGAACTCCAGGGGACACATATTACTTTAATTCAAGTTATGTACAGTCTTGATTGACATCGAGTTTGAACCCTATCATTTTAATTAGCCTCACTGTTAATTTAGTGTGTGAAAATATGAGATTTGCTTTTTAAAGAAGAGAATATACTTTAGATCTGAGTTATTTTTTAGTTATTTTTTATAGTATGTTCTCAATGTAGTATTTATCTCTTATGAAAAGTAAAAACACATTCTGTTTTTAAAGAGGTGGTATTATGCTTTTGGGCTTCTTCCCTCTCCATTGAGTTATATACCTTTTTTGTGCATGTAATAGATTTGAACTGTGTTACTGTGATGTAGAGACTTCAGAGCTCAGTTAAAACTTTATGGATGAAAGATACCCTTGTTACAGATTAATAATTCACCACTCTTGCTCCAGTCTATGTTGCCAAGCTGGTCAGCCACATGTACAGCTGAACCAAAGCCGTGTTTACCAGCTTCTCAGTGACCCGCCTTCTCTGCTTCTGATTGGCTAATAGTCCTTAACTAGGAACTGCGCATGTACAACTCCCAACAAAGATCATGTAGAGACAAGATGTATCACTCCGTAGCTAAAACGAAGCGTTCAACACAGGGTGAAAAGAGGAGCTGCATCAATGTGCAGTATGACAAAAATATGGTGTTTTTTGAAAATTAAACCATGTAAATCTGTTCTGGTACAACCCCTAAATAAGATTTTAAACCTGAAAATGAGCATAATAATGACCATTGTATAGGACTGATATCAATAGTTTTGTAAAGATAGAACAAAGCTTGAATCACCAAGATGTGGAGGAGGGGCCCCCAAAGCAAAATCTTACCCAGGGCCCCAAAAAGGCTGCAACTGGCCATTCTGGCGCATTTTCACTCAAAGGTGTCTGCATAGCAAAAGAAGCTTCCCGTGTTTCCATTTATTCCTTTGTGTTTTCATTCGTGCTGGAGAGCATTTTCTTACAGTCACAGATAATATGAACCTATTCAACATTCTTCCCCATGTCATTGTTTAAACCAGACATCAATATTTTGCTCCAAAAGTAATAGAGCAAAATCGTATGGAAAAGAACCCGTATACTTAATTTCACACATATCCAAAGTATGACTCAAATGTTGTGCATAAACAGTATATATTTCCAATTTGCTGCAGATTTTCTAATTGAACATTTAAATCCATGTCCAGCTTTTGCTTAAAATGAAAATTCCTCCCAGTTTAACCCTCCGAGGGGGACACATAAATGAAGTAGATTCCCCTCCATCGACGTGACCCTGTCTTTGAGTCTTCATCATCTCATTAACTTCTGCTGGACAGCCTGGGCAGTTTGCTTTATCTTTATACACGCAGAATATGAGCTAAAACTGGGTGGACTATAAGTAATCATCTGCTTTTTAAGCAAGGTCAGCATGGTGACTCTGAGGGAACCCAATATCCGCTGGACACTTTGTTAACAGACAGACAGCATGGGCGCAGACACACAAGCACGCACGCTGTGAAGGAAGTGCTCCTCTTTGTCTAGTCTTTGCAATTAAAACTCTCATTTCCATTTATAAAATGTGCAATAATGGCTAGAACAATTAAAACTGAATGTGTGAGATCACTGAGATAATGAAAAGGCGAAAGCGTGGCACTTTTGTTTGACAGAAAAACCCTTGTAACAGTTTTTTTTCCCTTTGGCTTAACACAGAAATTCCTTTTCCATTAACTTACAAATGACTGTCTTTTGCTCATTACAAAACACACTGATACTACCACCGTGTTGTTCTGTGTCTCACTTAAACTGAATTATATATCAAGATCCGTTTTCCTGTTTTAAATTAGAGGAAACAATGTTATACATAGTAAGGGTTTTTCCGAATATGAAATATGAATATCCAGTCATATTGCATCACCACGCACTTGAAGATGCACTAATGATTCTTTAATTAGACTTTAATGTTTGCACTCCACCCCCACTTCTCACACATACTACACTAAACTGCATAAAATTATCCACTGAATGTACAGAGAGACACACACAGATAGCATGTGTGAAATAATGGAAGAATGTCAGTTATTTAATTGGTCAGATACTGGCTTTTTAAATACATTTTCCTTGACTTAACGTCACAGATTTCATTACAATGACATAGGAAATGAGCAGTGGTACCCAAAAAAATAAATGTTCATCCACATGTTAAAAGGTGTCATCTTTGTCATCAAACCATAAAATACTGTAAATGTTGTTTTCTTGGATTTTCCACACTATACATTTATATTTCACTATATATATAGTTTATACATATAATATATATATGTATATATAATGCTATATAGTCAATGGCCTTCGAGTAGCCCAATTTATATGAGAAAACCTGCATGTGCAGTGTTCATTTGTTTTGCCTTATGCATCATCTCTGTCATCATCATTGTCATCATCATCTTCAGGTCGTCCAGAGAGTCAGCTGAGGCAGGTGTGTGTTTCTACAGACTCTCTCCAGGGCCAAAGAACGATAACAACCGCACTACAAAATTCATGATGCTGCAGTCTGCCTAATGCGAGACATCATCATCAACAGCACTCAGCTCTATCTCACACCTGCCTCATCAAGGGTGCGGTGTAAGGTTGCAAAGGATAGATCTTTAATTTGGCAACATACTCCATTTTTTTGTTGAATAATACTTTGACAAAAAAGTGTGGACTTTATGGAAGGCAAAATTGTTTTTAATTGTCAGTGTCTCCAAACTAGGAAGGGTGAACTTTCTTTGATTTTTTTCTTTTACCTCTGAGACCAAGATCTGGGACACAACACTTGTGACCTGTTTCTTGGGATGTATCCCCAAAACCGCCTCCCTCTCAGAGAAGAATGCTCCTCTGAAATGTGTCTGTGATCTAAAGTAGTGGAAGTGAAATTTCTTTAGATCTAAAGCACTGGAGGAGCCCCCTCGTTCTTTGAGGGGTAATAACAGCAGGAAAAGCAAACAATTCTCCAACTCCACTTTAATTTCTGTCCCTTCCCTTCTCCCCCCCCCCCGAAACATCCACTAATAATCATCTCTGTGCCTCATTAAGGAGCAGAGGAGTAGAGGCACAGGCTGCTCCAGATGTTTGGTGGAAAACCCCTGAGGTCCGGTGTCTGTGTCAGAGACACTTGTGTGTGTGTCACTGTCTGTTGTAATATGCACTATCAAGTGTGCATGATTGCATGAGTGTGTGCATGTATGTGTATCAGTGGCACCTCTCTAAATCTGTGCGTTTGATACTTCCTGCACTGTCTCTAGGCATCACTCTGTGTGTTCCACTGCCCTACTTCCAAAGCAAGCGCATGCAGCGAGGGATGAGGTTTTCTCTATGAGAACACTAGATGGAGATGCGGACTAAGTCTTCTATCTCTGCACGGTTTTGAAATCAGTCTCTTTGTCTGCCGGTGTTTGTCACAATGAGCGATCTGTCAGGTGAAGACATGCAAGTCGCAGAATTATTTGAATGATTTATGGGGCTGATACTGACTGTTTATTAAAATCTACCCCAGTCACTGTTTTCCAACTTTGTTATGATAGATATGATTGGCACATGACACATTGGCTGCTCTTTAAATACCATTTCATTAATTCTGGATGACACAATGAGTACTCGCATATAAGGTACTACAATTCAAAGAAGTTGAAAAGGAGCACAAAATACACTCTTCCTGCTGATTCAGCTTTCCACCCTCATTATCTGAAGAGATTTTGACAATATCAATTGAATTGTTTTTTTGGTAGGCACAGCTGAGTTTTTCTGAAATGAGCCCACTCCAAATGTTTTTGCAACTCCTGTGTAAGTTCTTTTCAGAATGCTGCCCCACTTCCACGATGTCTAATCACACCATCAGCTTGTGAATGCATAATTCACACTCCCTTTGTGAGATTAAAGTGAATGAAACATGAGTAAAAATGATGAGGCTTGTTACTCACTTGCCATAGTTTCTGAGGTCTCATCAGACCTGGCACCTGGCAACCAGCATGCAGGGCGGATCCAGGATTTAAATTATAAATCTTCCTGTTGTCTTTCCTGAACATTTACCTTTTACCAAATCCCACAGTGGGGGAAATGCACACTGATGAAAGCTAAGAATGAGAAGAGACACATGAAAAAAAGTTTAAGTGAGAGACAATACATCTTTGATGCAAACACTAAAGCAATTCTATAAATAACTAAACAGTTTTGCCACTTTGCCTTTAATGTCCATCCATCCATCGTCAACCACTTATCCTGTGTACAGGGTTGCAGGGGGGCTGGAGGCAATCCCAGCTGACTTTGGGCAAAATGCAGGGTACACCCTGGTCAGGTCACCAGTCCATTGCAGGGCCACACATAGACACACAACCACTTGCAAAATTTCAGAGACACCAATTAACCTAGCCTGCATGTCTTTGGATGGTGGGAGGAAGCTGGAGCACCTGGAGAGAACCCATGCAGACACAGGGAGAACATTCAAACTCCACACAGAAAGGCTGGGTCAACCAGGGTTTGAACCCACGACCTTCTTGCTGTGAGGTGACAGTGCTAACCACTTTTTTAAAAGGATCAAATCATTAAACAAGCTTTTGTCCTTTAATTAGTCCTTCATTTTGTGTAAATAGCTTAGAGTCTCGTATCAATGGGTTCATTTATAAAAACGTTTATTTGTTCATAAAAACAACAAAAAATGCTGTGGAGATTAAAGGTTGATTATTCTGGCACCACTTAATGCACCATCCGTCACTGCTCACCCCTCCCTTTGCAAACAGTAAGAGAAACTACGGTGGCCAGCTCTGTCGGATCTTGTGCTAAATAATAAGTATGGTCCTCCATTTGTCCAAATTTCTCCTACCTCTGATAAACCACCTGACTACTACTACTACTACTTATATTTATGTTTGTTTTTCGTACATATTCAACGTAGTGATGTTAAGAGCTCTGTAGTTCGTCTGTTACTGCACAAACATGACGGCGTCCATGTAAGAGTAAAAAAGTATGTAGACAGAAATGGCTCCTTCGGTTCATTTTGTAAGGTCTTTATACACAACTGAAAACATAGTTATGTGTATTACTGTAAAACTTCAATTACTAGCCGAGTCCCAAGCCGCATAGCCACATACCCATTTTTATGGCCTGGTGTGGGAACACATTTTGACAAATAAGCCAAAACACAGGTCTCCATTCAAAGAGCTCTTACACATTGCAAAATGAAGTATTTCATTTCATAGAACTTTTTGTCCTTATTACCGTAATACTTAAAATAAAAGAAAGGTCCCAATTAGACTCCAAGTGTGGCTACACGTTTTGACAAATGGCTAGTAATGTGTAAAACCTCTTAAAG